AATTCCAGAAAAAAATTAAATTGTAAAAAATGTCAAGTCTCAGTTTTTTCACCACAAAAAGTTGAAAATCTCATGTAAAACCAAGTTAGTTATTTTAATTAGTATCTACAGAAGCACCTATTTAACAAATTTTTAACTAATCATTGACCAGTCAACATTTCTAGTGACCGTATTAATATTCTTCTTCTTAGGCCGCCGTCTCCCTTCGGAGGTTGGCGATCCAACTGGCTATGATGGTGCGTGAAACCACACCTCTGAAAATTTCGATGGATGTTCTTCCGAACCAACGACGCAGATCCTTAAGCCAGGAGCTTTGCCTTCTTCCCACTGATCTCCTGCCCTCAATTTTGCCCTCGATGACCAGTCTGAGCACCTCGTATCGATCACCCCGCATGATGTGACCGACGTACTGTAACTGCCTTTCCTTCACTGTTGATAGGAGCTCTTTATCTTTGCCCATACGCCTGAGTACCTCCTCATTTGTCACTCTATCCATCCAGGATATACGCCGCATACCACGATACAAGTACATCTCGCGTTAATGCGGTTTTCCAATGTCTGATTGTCCTATCATCTCCCTGGATCTGGTCTGGTCCTATTGCCTTGTTTTTCTCCTGAAGATCTATTGCACGTTTGACTTCTTCCTTTGTAATATCCGGACTGGAATCATTGAGATTACTAGCTATGGGTGGTTGATCGGGCCGTGTATCTGCGTAGAGCAAACCAACATACTCCTTCCACCGACCGAGCTTTTCCTTGACGCCTAATATATACAGGGTGTTTCAAAACAAATGCGAAAAACTTCAGGGGGCGATTCCTTGTTCAAAATAAAGGGTAGTTTGCTTCATAAACGTTGGGTCAAAAGTCAACCATTAGGGAGATATCGCGGTACAAAGATGGCGGAAAAATAATGTTTTTATTTTTTTATCTTGAAAACGAAAAGAGATAGACTAATAAAATTTTATGGAAGCATTACTGTTATGAAAACACACTTTCTGATAATTTTTTCACTTTTTTAAAATGAGTGGAAGGGGTTGAAATAAACTACCCCTATCATTCTTGTTAACGAAATTTAAAGAAAAATCTTATCAAACACATGCAACAAAATTAATTTGGATAGTTTAGTTTGTTTATAAACTTTTTTATCTCTCGTATTTTTTTGATAAAACTCACCGATTTGAAATTAAAAAATAAAATGTAAAGCATTACATGTCAGGACAAAAAACATTTTCTGATAAAGAATCTAGTGGACTGCTGTAATTTTTTTAGGAAAAAATCTAGTCAGCCACTGTTACTTTTTAGGATGTTCCTAATATTATTTTATTTGACATTACTCTACTGCAATACGTTATTATCTAGATGATTATTATTATCGTTATTATCACTAGATTCTTAATCTAAAAATGTTTTTTGTCCTGACGTGTAATGCTTTATACTTTATTTTTTAATTTCAAATCGGTGAGTTTTATTAAAAAAACACAAGAGATAAAAAAGTTTCTAAACAAACTAAACTATCCAAATTAAAGCATTTGCATGTGTTTGATAAGATTTTTCTTTAAATTTCGTTAACAAGAATGATAGGGGTAGTTTATTTCAACCCCTTCCACTCATTTTAAAAAAGTAAAAAAATTACCTGAAAGTGTGTTTTCATAACAGTAATGCTTCGATAAAATTTCATTAGTCTATCTCTTTTTGTTTTCAAGATAAAAAATAGAAACATTAAATTTCCGCCATCTTTGTACCGCGATATCTCCCTAATGGTTGACTTTTGACCCAACGTTTATAAAGCAAACTACCCTTTATTTTGAACAAGGAATCACCCCCTAAAGTTTTTCGCATTTGTTTTGAAACACCCTGTATAGTATTAATATTAGACATTGATTTTTGTATAAATCTGGTACATTCTCTAAATAAAAAATAAAATCGATGCGATCAACATGAACAGTAACCGGGACTGCGTAAAATACAGGGCCGGAAAGTCCCGATTTCTGCCGTATTGGCTTGGTGCATTCTCTGCCGGTGCTGCCCCCATAGGAGAATATCGTAAACAATTGTTATATACAAATACACGGGTTTAAATATTGAATATACGAAAAAAAGTTTATATAATTATTTAAAACTGTTAGGAAGTATAATTTGTAAAAATTCCAAAAAAAAAATAAAAAAGTAAATATTTTGATGTGTAACTTGTATTCTTTGAGGTGTAACTTGTATTATAATTTGTTATTGAAGCTAATAAAACTTTTTAGATGAATTCAAATACCGCAGCGAGCATAGCTTTACGCACCGGTTTTGCTAGTGGGAACATAATTTAGGGCTAGTTCAGCTATAACGAATTTTTTTGAAGATACATAATTATAATTTTAGAAGATATTCATAAAAAAATTAAGCACTAGTTGATTAAAAAAGAGTATGCCATTATTACAGTTGAGGGTTGGAACCTTTGGTGTTAAACAGCAAAATAAAAACACTAAATCACCACAATACACCAAAACACTTTTACTTTTACACTGGACGCGCGTTTCGCTAACCATGTTAGCATCATCAGCAGATGATTATAAACTGACATAGTTTATAATCATCTGCTGATGATGCTAACATGGTTAGCGAAACGCGCGTCCAGTGTAAAAGTAAAAGTGTTTTGGTGTATTGTGGTGATTTAGTGTTTTTATTTTATACCATTATTATTGCAAATTATATTTTATCCTCTCATAGTATAATATGTCTATTTAATTTTTTGATTATGTTGGCACTTTGTTTACTAACTTGTTTGGTCAAACTGCTTTATCAAATCGACTTGAGAAGCTGTGAAGCTATAAAATGTTGATTCGGGAGAGTTGAATATTCGGGAAAGTTGAGTTATTGAATTGTTATTACACTCACCAACACCTAATTACGCTCTCCTTTATGCTTTAACATTTTTTTTTGGCAATTTTATTACCATTTGAAATTGTCACAACACAACACGACGCCTAGTTCGAATTCTTTTTCACTTATTTTTTTACTACCCGAAACGAAAAGAATTTTTTGAAATCAACTGAAATGCACCAAGCCTATACCGAGCGCTGTTATCGAAATTTTAAAAATCGACTGAAATGCCCCAAACCTATAATAATTATATCATGCCTTAGCGCTCGCACGGCACCATAATTGTAAAAGAATAATCTACTATTTCCATTACTAAGTAAATCTAAAGAGCTCACTTAAAAATATACTATTTACTAATTAGTAGAATATGTAGTAGCGTAATTGGAAAATAGTTTTAACTAATTTTATTACGATAGATATAAAAATGTCTACTCCTAATATTGATACAGTCACTGATGATAGGTTAATTCATTAAATAACAATTTATAATAAGATTGTTTAATAGATTCTTCCATAGATACTAAATAAAATAACCTAATTGTTCTTACGAGAGATTTTACAACTTTATATAATAAAATAAACATTTTTAGAAAAAAATCGATACTTTTGAACATGTCTAATACCATACCACAAAGACGTCTCGTACGTGTTTCTGAGGTCAGTTTTAAGGCTTATCCGTGTCGTTAACATAGATATTAATTTGTCGATTGAATTCCAGCTTCATTAAAATGTCGTACAGGTATTGTGTTTACACGTTAGTTGGTCTTGAAACAGTTATTATTAAATCATACGAAATTTTTATTATAAGATTTTTTTTTCTTGAGAAATTTATTATTTAAATCATGCGAATCTAACAGAATTTATATATATGTAGTACGTATTTCCAGAAAATTTATAGTCAATTCCGAGGTCCATTCTATTTATTTTACCACAGATTTTGTCTTGATAACATTTTTTTATTGTGCATTTCAAATTTCTGATAAAAATTTTTCTCTAAAAATTATTAACTTCAATGAATAATGGTTCTAAAAATAATAACAATTAAGACGGTTAATTATTGTAAAAAGAATAAATTTTACTAGTTCGTTGACATTGTCGGAAGAACAGAAATCTATAGATTTTGATATATTTGATTTTTATATCTTTTTTTGAATAAATCTTCATTTTATGACTAGTATTCTGAGAATGTATTCCACGCTTTCAAGAAATAATTTGTTAGTTGCTCTTAGTTGTATATCTTAGTTGTATACAGTATGTCCCCAGATTGTCTTTACAAGAGGAAAAACTTTTTTACTTTGCAAAATTTCCAAACCGTTTTAGAGAAAATTAAAAAAATAGGAAAATATAGTTCAGTTTTTTCCTAAAAATCAAAACGCTATGGTAATATAATTTCGTTTTCATTCATTGATGGATTGTTATTGATAAAATTTTAATTAACATTATATTTTTTGTCGTTTTAAAATGTTAAAAAGCACAAAATTTATGTAGTTCGATGCTACAGAGAGGGTGATAATAGGTAGTTATTGGAAAATGTGATACTTTAACAACAAAAAATATTACGTTAATCAAAATTAATAATAACCATGGTAACAATCTATCAATGAATGAAATCTAAACGATATTACCATAGAAACGCCTCTTGATTTTTAGGACCTTAAAAAAATTCAACCAGATTTTCGTGTTTTTTTTAAATTTTCTCTAAAACGGTATGGAAATATGCAAAAGTATAAACGGGATTAGGCCATTTTAGAACAAGCAAAATTTTTTTTGAAGAATGCATTTTGCCCAAAATGTCAATAATAAAAAAGGTTTTTCTCTTGTAAAGACAATCCGGGTATATACTGTGTGACAAAGAACCTTCAACACCCAGTATGTGCTTAGCGCGAACTATATCTGGTTCTCTTTGAAAGTGTATATTTGAAAAACATTTAAAACAAGTAATGGTGCTTTTTTAAACACTTGCTTTGAAAAAATTATTTGAATCATAACAACACAATTTTATGTTAATTCACCTCATTTCGCTTGTCAATAAAATATTTTCCGCTCGAAAAAAACCAAACAAATCGACTTCCCGCGAACATTTTTTATAGAGAATTTGTGTTTATAGGATATGCATGACGGACGGTACTTACCGCTGGAGAAATTGGTACGCTTTTCGGCGAAACGGATCCGCCGCCGCCGTCGGTGGTTCCGATTTTAGGTCCCACGAGGAACTCGACCAGCGTGAAGGCCTGCACCGCGCGAACCCAGCACACGAGAAGAACCACTGAGGTGGTACCACTACAACGCGGCCGAAGAACCATGGCGCGAATCGAAAAAAATCCGTGCGGAGAACGACGGTACGACCGCTGTTGTCGTCGCTTAAATTTGGGTCATTATTTCGAATATATGTAGATGTGTATGCGTGCGTGTTTTAGCTAGCCGAACCATACTGCTACATCTCGAAGGAGGATGGTCAGTTTTGGTCGCGGCGTGTCCGCGTCGTGTCAGAATCGTAAAGCGGACTAGCAAGCGAGCAGGGGTAGTGGACGACGAATGGGATTTGCGTTTTTTTCTTTTGGCATTGACATTTGTAAGAACCAAAATTCTAGGCGAATATCTTTGGGAATCTATAGGGTTAAGCTTAGTGTTGCACAAGAGTTTTGAAAAAGTCTTGCAAGAGTCTTGGTCTTGCAATTCAAAGACAAAATTCAAGACAAGACAAGACTTTAATATGCAAGAAATGCCAAGAGTCTTGCAAGATTTCTTGAAAGTTAGAAATGGTACATTTTTTTAAGTGATAATTAGTAGCGATGGGAACTATCGAATGAATTAGACTATCGAATGGTTAATGAATGAATGATTTCAACTATCGAATGGTTTTATTCGAATAAAATCATTCATTCATTTGTATACTAAAGCATATGTGACAACCTCGCCGTGCGACTAAATGGTTATCGGTGAGCCACGACTACCTATCGAATGCTTTTGATAAATGAAATTTAGTATTCGTTTGATTTTTGTATGCGTCAGTGCATTATTAGTTCTTCCAAATTTTTATAACTTCACCGTATAAATACTGTGCTATTTTTGCGTTTACTAAAATAGTTAAAATACTAAAATAGTAGTTATTTTTTAATTTTATTTATTGACGATTGTGTGCATGTGCAGGTGGTCAAAATTTTTCCGAAAATTTGTGTGATTTTCCGTAGCCCAATCTTTCAATTATTTAATTTTATATGATATATGGTCTATTTTTTAATGGGAAATTTTGAGAAGTAGCAATTTTTAAGAGAGATGAGATGAACTTACAATTAATTTTAAAAATACATATTTGTATTTTGGATGTTATAATAATATGACTTAGTTGAACTTAATAATCATATTTAAGTAATGTGGTTAAGTAAATGGGGGGTTATCGAACTCAAACTATGGGGTGAGATAATTAAATTGAAAGTTTTACACGTGCCAATTTAAAAAAAAAGATAACGATGTTTGTATTTTGTTTATGCCAATTCTCTTATATTTTTAAAGTAAATGCCAGTAAAAGTAAATATTATTTTTAAATAATAATATAAAGTACCTAATATAAATAGTTTTGATTTCTAATTTTTTATTAATATTTTCCTTCCATTACACTGCATGCTTAGAAAATTAATAAATGTTTATATTTCATGATTTTAAAATTTGTTGTTAATATAACAAATTAGTTCTGTAATTAGTATTATTTAATAAACCAACGTTGCCACACAAAAAATTTAGAGACTATATTATATTTAAATAGGATCTAATATAAATAATTTTGACATCTAATTTGTTGTTTATATTTTGCTACTACTTAAAAAAATGTTTATATTAAATTATTTTAAATTTTGTTGTTAATAGGTATAAAAAATTATTACTGTTATTATTATTTATTAAACCAGTCTTTGCTTAAAAACATTAAAAATAATTTTCCTACATCCAAAATAGCAAGTATTATTGAAGTGTAACAACAGAATATTAATAATAAAAATGCAAAATATATAGACATACTATCCCTAACTAACTAAAGCCAAACAATAATATTCTTTGCTAATATCAACTAATACCAATATATGGCAACAGCGCCCTTCATAATGTATTTTCTGTGTAAATACGAACACCTCAATAAAAAAAATAATGTGTCCTTATCTTTATCTGACTCCGCAAAAAATGAAAGATGCCGGCTTCTTTCATAGCATTGCCACCGACCGCTGCCGGGTTTCTCGGAAAGAAACCTATGCCGAGCGACAACTAAAATCCAGTTAATGTTTTATTATAATCGATCCTGACGAATAAATGAATTTTATAAATGAATGAATCTTATAAATGAATGGTTTTTGCTGCCGAATTACTAGAATACAATATTTCAAGGCAGATGACGCATCTCTGATACTTTTATTCGAATAGTTTTCAACGAATGTTTTCTTAGTAACTATCGAATTATTCGAATGAATTGCAACTATCGAATGTTTCGATAGTATTCATTCGATAGTTCCCACTACTAATAATTAGGTCTTTGCGCAAGTTATGCCTGGTTTATACCACATTTACAAAGTCGTAATCACGCACAATCATAGTCATCATAAAAGTTACACTATCCACTTCTGATAAACCTGTTGACATCTACCATGAACTTAGCCTTTAATTATGTTACCCAACTTCACTGATATAAAAATTATGATTATGAAAATGTTCTATAAACGCACATTAAAATTGCGTTGTGATTATGACGATGATTAAGACTGTGATTATGATTACGACTTATGCAAATGTGGTATAAACCCGGCATTAATATTGACCTGTGTTCATTTCTTTTTTCTATCATAGCCAGTGTTTTAGAGTTGAGAATGAAGTAAAATAAAGTCGAGGCAAAAAAACCGTATATTGGTAATTGGTATTATACACAAAATTATATTGGTATAATGGTATTATAAAAAAAAACTAGATAGTTGAAACTAATGTTCGTGGAGCTATTTGGTACTACTTTTCATGCACGAAATTGCTCCGCGAACAAAAAGTAGTATCAAATAGCGCAAATAGTACACTCTAGCATGACCTTTCCGTACACCCTGTGTCCAAACTTTTCCAACCATGCTTATTTTTCTACTTTTTCGGATCAGTAAAATAGATTCTTAAAGTTCAAATAAGACAAATAAAATAGAAAATAATATACAGGGTGTCCCATTTAAAAAACATAAATTTGACTCGTTTTTCGAAAATGATAGCTCTCAACAAAAAATTAGTTACAACCCTGGATTCTACGTGAAGACCATAGATATAAAGAAAATAATCTACTATTAAGATAGATATGAAACTTAATAGTAAAATTTTCGGTCAAAGCGCCCCTCCGTGTTTTTAGTGGAGACTACGTTTAACGCAGCGCCTTCGCCTTTTCTGCTGTAAATGTTTTTTATGTTTATATTTGAATTCAAAGGATTTATTTTTAAAGTTACACTGATATATTAGTATATCAGAGTAACTTTAATAAAACATAAGAATATACAGTGTGACCCACTCAAGACCGGGCACCCTCCATAAAATCTGTGTTTATAGTCCGATTTTGATGATTTTTTTTTTCAAATATAAAGTTTCAAAAAATGTACTTTAGGGCTCAATGTCATGTTATTTCACAAAAAACAAGGCCTACTTAATAAAGTTTTTGTGGTGAAAAATTTGCAAAATCATATTAGCGATTTTTTTTCAAAAAATTTGAGTACACCCCTACATTCGGCATCCCCAAAACAGTTCTGTACCAAATTTCGTTTAAAAATATTAATTATTAATAATTCTGCAGTTAAATTAAATAATTCCCTATTTTTGCCAATTTAACGATGAGTTATCACGTAACCCTTGAAAAAAACAATCCACAACAATGGGTTTTATTAGCTGTCAATTCTTGCAGCGTAGAATTGAATATTAATTTAATAGCACGCAGAAAAGTGTTGTATCAAGAAATATTATTTGCATTATGGAACAATTAAATATTAGGGATAAAATTGAAATTATTCGTTTAGTGGGTGATAACTATCTTCAAGCAGGAGAAGCTGCCAGAGAATTTAACAACAGACATCCCGACAGACCTGCAGTAAGTAGAAGCACGGTTCAACGAATAAATAGAGTTTTTAATGAAACTGGTTGTGTGTCAAAATACTTACTAAAAAACAGAAGGCCGGAACATCGAATAAATAGGCGGAATGAGGAAATATTAGAATATTTTCGTAACAATCCTCGTGCAAGCATTAGAGGCGCCAGTGTTGATTTGGATATACCAAGGGAAAATATTAGGAGATGTTTGCGAACTAATAAAGTTAAACCCTTTAAACCAAAGATTTTACACACTTTGGAAAACGGAGATGATGTTAGACGATTAGAATTCTGCTTATGGGCTCAAGCAGAGTATTTAAATAATAGAAATTTCTTAAAAGAAATTTTATTTAGTGATGAGGCAACATTTAGTACAAACGGAGTAGTATCCTCTCAAAATTCGCGATTCTGGGCAGTCGAAAACCCTGAATGGGTGATCAATACAAGAAGACAGTATTCTCAGAAATTAAATGTGTGGTGTGGCATACTTGATGATAGAATCATTGGTCCATATTTTTTTGAGAGAAATTTGAATAGTCCAACGTTTTTGAATTTTCTGATTAATGACTTTTGGGATGCAATACATAATTTACCATGCCAAACCCGTTTGAATTTAAAATTTCAATTGGACGGATCACCTGTGCATAACGCGGCAGTTGTCAGGGAATGGTTAAATGAAAATTTTGAAAATAAGTGGATAGGTCGAAATAGCCCGCTAATTGAGTGGGCACCGAGATCCCCGGACCTAACACCCCTTGATTTCTTTCTTTGGGGTTTCTTAAAACAACAAGTTTACAAGTCTAGACCTCAATCTGTAGATGAATTACGTATTAGAATTACAGAGGCTTCTGCAAATATTACACCACAGCAGCTTAGGAATGCAACTGTTAATCTAAGAAAAAGATGCGACAAATGTATTGAACTGAATGGAGGGCTGGTAGAAGCAACTAGAATTATTTGAATATGTTTAACTTATTATTCGGTTATTATGTTGCTTGTAGTATTTTTATCATTGTTTGTAATAAAACTCGTTGTCGTGGATTGTTTTTTTCAAGGGTTACTTGATAACTCATCGTTAAATTGGCAAAAATAGGGAATTATTTAATTTAACTGCAGAATTATTAATAATTAATATTTTTAAACGAAATTTGGTACAGAACTGTTTTGGGGATGCCGAATGTAGGGGTGTACTCAAATTTTTTGAAAAAAAAATCGCTAATATGATTTTGCAAATTTTTCACCACAAAAACTTTATTAAGTAGGCCTTGTTTTTTGTGAAATAACATGACATTGAGCCCTAAAGTACATTTTTTGAAACTTTATA